CACGGCCGGCTCCTCCTCCTCCTCCTTGTCCGGGGCCTCCGCTCTGCCGACGCAACGCTGTGAGCTAGGCGGACAAACTGATTGCGTCGGGAAAGCCCTCCACTCGGAGGCGAGCCGTAGGCCGGCGAGCGCGAAGAGGAGGGGCGGAGCGGCGCCACACCGCCTCGCGGCGTTCGCTCGAAAAAAACCAAACGCGGCCTTTACGTACCTCCGGCCACGTAAATCGCGGTCTCCAGAAACATCCGCGGGGCTACGTTTCCAGAATGAGCTTGGGTTGGCTTTTTTAGGCATTCATAAAAGAATTGGAACAATACTTTGAAACACTTTCCGGTTCAGGAAACACTAAGGCTAGGAAACCATTAGCTGCGTCCCAAATGGCACACTATGCACTCATGCACTATGCACTTATGCACTTACACACTCAACAGGATAGTACATGCATCTAGTGTTGTCCCAAATGGCACACTAATGTTTTTTTACTAAACGGAAATTCAAACCGTTTCCCTGATGACGTTTGACGGTCGCCAAATCAGTGAAATAAACGACCGAATTATCAAATAATACCTATCGTGAGTATAACCGCATTCACCATCGGGAGGCGCTATAATCACTCTCGTAGGAGAATTTTGCTTTCACCATCCAAAATAAATAAAGTTATCCAATATGTGCATCCGATAGCTCCGCCCCTTCCGCTACGTAAGCAAACCTGCGGTCTTTGAGTGCGTGAGGTGTCCATCATTACACACTTCATTTTAGCGACTGAATGAGTGCATCATCCGGGTAATTAAAGTGCACTTATTATTTTAAGAGTTTTCAGTGTGAACACACTACTTACACTATTTATACTACAAAATGGCGTAGAATAGTGCATAAGTATGCGATTTGGGACGCAGCTATTATCTTGTCACGCCCTATTTAAAATTCCCCTGTAAAAAGCGGTACTTCGTTTTGAACTACTTACACTCTTAATATTGTATTTTTTTTTAAGCTTTACGTTATATGCATCTCTTATTCAACGTATTGTATTTTTTTTCCCTTCTTTACTGTTTTATCCCCCTGGCATCTTTTATGTTCCTTATATAGTTCCTAATGTTTCATTATGCTGTAATAATTTACTGTTTAATAAAAAAAAAATAATAATAAAAAAGACTTTTCCCCACCAGAACCCCTCAATCACACAGTTTGATTGAAGACACTGCAGGTCCACTGCCTTCTCAGTTTGAACGTTTGTACACAAACACGAGCGCGCCAAGGTTATAGTAGTTTTGGATTTTGCATTAGTTTGTTTTTATTTCGTTTTGACTTTTTGTTTTCAAATTAGTTAGTTTTCACTAGTTTTTATTAGTTTCTATATTGCGAAAGGACTTTCAATAATGGTTTTAGTTTTTTTTTCTAAATGAGGATATTTGTTTGGTGCAAGAATCAAAATCAATAGAATAAATATTGCATAATAAAAACTCAGTTAAACATTTTTTGAATGTTTTGGATGTTTGGACTCAACATATTAAAATGATGTAGTCAGCAATAGTCATTTCAGTCAGTTAAAACATCACCATGATCTGAAAAATGTCTTACAGTAAAGTTTTGCAGCCAAACTGAAGCATGATTCACGTATTTAAACTCCATTACGATTTTCTGTTATGAAATAAACTTACGTTTTTCACCAGATCCTCTCATTTAAGCCCTCGGTTTACCCGCGCTGCAGTTGTTCAAGTTTAGTTCAGTAACAGCAGGCTGTCATGTACTGTTTAGTTCACTGAATCGCGCATGCGCAGTATTATCGGTTCACCGCTTCTCAATGTTACGTTGCTGCTCTAATAACTGAATGAGAGTATATATTGGATTATTTCGAGTCAGAGGGGGGTATTAGGCTTGTTAAAAAGTAAGTAGTTTGTGCATAAGTGCATAAGTGCTTGCTGGAGACAGTATGTAATGAAGATAAGGGGGGTGTCGAGGGACGTGGATATAACTGAGGGCGCGGGTGGTGAGGGTAGTGTCGCGGACGCCGCCTTAGACGTGGATATAACTGAGGGCGCTGGTGGTGAGGCTAGTTTCGCGGACGCCGCCCTAGACGTGGATATAACTGAGGGGGCGGGTGGTGAGGCTAGTTTCGCAGACGCCGCCCTAGACGTGGATATAACTGAGGGTGCGGGTGGTGAGGGTAGTGTCGCGGACGCCGCCCTAGACGTGAATATAACTGAGGGCGCGGGTGGTGAGGCTAGTTTCGCGGACGCCGCCCTAGACGTGGATATAACTGAGGGCGCGGGTGGTGAGGGTAGTGTCGCGGACGCCACACTATACGCGGATATAACCGAGGGCGCGGGTGGTGAGGGTAGTGTCGCGGACGCCGCCCTGGACGCGGATATAACCGAGGGTGCAGGTGGGGAGGGTAGTGTCGCGGACGCCGCCCTGGACGCAGATATAAACGAGGGTGCAGGTGGGGAGGGTAGTGTCGCGGACGCCGCCCTAGACGCGGATATAACTGAGGGCGCGGGTGGTGAGGGTAGTGTCGCGGACGCCACCCTATACGCGGATATAACTTAGGGCGCGGGTGGTGAGGGTAGTGTCGCGGACGCCGCCCTGGACGCGGATATAACCGAGGGTGCAGGTGGGGAGGGTAGTGTCGCGGACGCCGCCCTAGACGCGGATATAACTGAGGGCGGGAGAGGTGAGGGTTGTGTCGGGGACGCCGCCCTCTGTATTCTGCCGCCCTAGTCGCCTCTATGGACGCGCCGGCCCTGGTCACAGGCGTTTCTCATCTGTTTCTCATCTGCGGCGGGTCTTGTTTCGTCTCCCATGGCTCTCGGCCCCGCCCTATCTCCCATCACAGGCCGGGGGCACCCCATGGCTGTGCTTACTCCAGTGGGGGTTGGGGGAGGTGGCGCCACAGCACCCGCAAGACCTTTGAAACCGGCTGAGAGAAAAGGAGATGAGAAAAAAGTAAAGGCAGAGCAGCGTGAGAGAGGGAAGAGAGGCAAAAAAAAATTGTGTCTCGGTCCTCCACCAGCTAAGAGACTGACGACGTGTTGGGAGCCCTGTGAAGGAATCTATCCACCTGTCTGTCTTCTGGTGTCCGGCAACGATTCTCCTGGCTGGCGGCATTCCTGTTCTCCTGCTCCGCTCCTGCTTAGGTGGACGGAAGCAGACTTTGGCATCATGGCGGATGGCGGCGACTCCCCTAGCCTCTTAAGCCGCCTTTCCACTGCACACGACATTTGGACACGACTGTCGGAATATGCCCCCTTGTGGTAGCCGCACAGTATTTTCAGTGTTGTCGTGCACCACGGCGGAGAAGGGGATTCTCAACAGTGTCCGAAATAAAGGACTGCAAAAGCAAGAGCCTTTATTCTCTGTGCATTTACATGGTTTAATGGATGAATGAATACTAGAAACTCTAAAATATTGGAGGGAATGTGGAGACAACATTAAAAATATATATTTTTTATTACTTTCTTACTTACATTTATGAACAATAATTCAAAAAATAACCAAATAAACTCATTTTTCTCATCTCGCGTACACGGATCTGCTTGGACAACACTGGAATACATGATATCCGGTCGGCAGGTCGCATACGGTCTAGTCGCAGGAGTTCAAATATTTCAATGGATCCGCAGCTCAATTCGGATCCGAATTTTCCGCATACGGAGATGATCGGAACTCAACGCAGCTCCTGGACCGCTCTCCATTGGAAATGAATGACTTCCGGTCTGTCGCTTGTCGTGTGCAGTGGAAAGGCGGCTTTAGAGATGGCTCCCTCCAGCACTTTCCCTTCCGGTGGCGAGCCCGGCGTTCCCTTCTCCTCACCATGCTGGGAGCCGTCAGCAGGCAGATCCTTTCCTCACCATCCTCAGGCCGTCCTGTGCATATGAACGTGTTTCTTCCCAACTTGGGTTAACTCCCGAAAATTCGCCCTCCCTCTCAGCGTCGAGGGCAACTGGACGTGTCCCTCCTTCTCCCGGATTTCAGCACCACTGTAATGAAGGATACTAATGGCTGCCTGGCCTGAGACAGGCTGTGGGGGTATGTGGTGGGGAAGGCATGATCGAACACCCAAAAATGGAGGAGAGCAAGCGGAGACACTGGCGGCTGGTCAGGGGTCCAATCACTAGTAAATGCAGGTGCTACTGATTATTAATGATTGGACCACTGACCAGCTGCCGTTGTCACCGCTTGCTCTCCCCCCTTTAAGGGTATTCCATCATGCCTTCCCCCACCACACAGTACTTTTACCAGAAACTGCAACGGCATCTTTTTCGTACAGACCACTCACGTCTTCTGCAGTGACTCGCACATGAGCACTGCATAGTTAGATGGCATGTCAAGATAAAACTTTCACAGGCAGTGGCGTTCATTACTGTCAGTTCCACAGCAGTGGACACAATCAGAAGAACACGAAGGCGAGGAAAGAGTTCAGAGCTTCTGTGTACCGAGTTGATATGACAACATGGTGAAAACACTTCCGAGCGCTCTAGTAACTGTACATAATAAAAATAGAAAACAATTCATTCATATGGTTTTCTCAATTAAAGGGGGCCTATCATGCAAAAATCACTTGTATGAGGGGTTTAATCACAATTGTGTGGCAACAGCGTGTGAATATATCCAGTCACTAATAGTAAAAATGAAATAGATAGTATTGTTTATAATCAGACGTGATATAAACAGTCTGCAGAAACACTTTGATTGACATTCTCCAGCTGTACGTGTCATCAGAAGAGGAAAACCCCGCCCACTAGTGCCCGTGTCTTCCTCATCAGCACAAACAGTCCCCCTTAAGCTTTCTTTCAACTTCTTTTATTTGTATAGCACATTTAGCATATAAGTTTGCCCAAATCTCTTGCTAAAGACGCGACTAGCAGCAGCACTTGGAAATAACACGCATTGGGCTTATTCTCCTTAGGTGCAGCTGAAGCTGAAGGGGTTTGGAGTAGAAAAGGACTCCAGTGTGTCCTGGAACCTTCAAGCAGACGGAGAAGGCTTCCACAAGGACAAACCATGAGTGTCACATCAGAGGATGTAACATCATTTTGATTCAAATTTTATTAATTTAAATAATATACTAGTGTAATAGCACAAAGGGAAAACGTGCAGGTTGTGAAACGGTAAATAAATAGTTTTGAATTATGTCAATCGTTTATTTCAGTAATCTTAAAATCCAGTTATAATAATTCTGACTTTATGTTTCAAGAATATATATACACCATACTCTTTAGACATGAGATATTCAAATATATTCTAGAAGCACTATATATATTAATTTTAAAAAGCTTTTTAAGAGACCATGGTATTTTCTGAGTTCTTCGTTCGTCTTTGCTAATGTTGGTCAATATTATCATTAACATAATATTCCAGAATACAGGAACAAATCAATATAAAAATCACTTGCAGCAATACCTACAGTATGAGCTAATCATTGAGAGACCGTGGTTCATTTCACAAGTTTAGGTTCATTTATACTCCCTTTATATATCCCGACCTTCAGTAAGAATAAATAGAAGAGAAACATCTGGAAGGAGAAGTGCTGGAGAACTGTTGCTGACAGACATGTTGGATACAGTATATTCAGAGTTCACAAATGTCTTGAGTTGGAGATCATTAATATGCAAGAACCAGGCTGCAAGTTTTATTCTACTTATAATATACTTGCACGTTCATCTATGATTGTATTTCTTTCATTATATATATATATATATATACATATATATATATATATATATATACACACACACACACACACACACACACACATATATATATATATATATATGTATGTATGTATGTATGTATGTATGTATATATATATATATATATATATATATATATATATATATATATATATATATATATACATATATATATATATATATATATATATATATATATATATATATATATATATGTCTGTACATCCGTATCTATATATATATATATACATATCTATACATATACTATCTATATATCTATATATATATACATATACACATATATATGTCTATATCTAACTATTTCCGTCTCTCCATATTTATCGATATAACAAAGGAGGCGTACCATATAGTACACATTAGATCGTATGAACTCACACGCATTAGCCCCCAAAGCAAAACGTTACGAATTGTCTTGACTTTGCGTTCGTTTAGCTGTATTTTATGTTACCTTAACGTACGTTTTTTATG